GTCCCTCAGCTTGAGTTTTTTTTTTTTTAAGAGAATTTTTTGCTACAGGGCACATGTGGTGGCTAGAGACAGAGACAGAAACGCTAGAAATCACCCTCCTTGGGGATAGCCACACCGCAATCTCTTCTCCATTCTCCTCCCAGGATTTTGGGCACACATGTACATGTGCCCAACAGTTTTAATTGGAATCCAAAACGTACACGATTTTTTAAAAATTAAGTGTGCTACAGGGCACGCTCACCCGAGAGAATGTGAAAAAGCAAGCCACCAGGTCTAGGACTTGAACTGCAGTCAGCCACGTGGGAGTACAGTACCTTAACCACACCACCTGCTGGTACCAAGCAGCTACCATTTTAAACATCCATTCTCTGCCTTAAGGGGCATGACTGTCCTAGCTAAGGGACTCCCACAAGAAAGATCAAGCCCATGGGGACACTGATGACTGATACAGGTCCCTGCCCGCCTGAGCGAGGAGCCATCTGTGGTTCGTGCTCTGACAATCCCAAACGCCAGGTCCTCGTCAGGCACGGCATCTCCTCCTCGGGTGGAAGGCGCACCGCTGTGTTCCCACGGTTCCTCTGCCGAAAGGGGGTGAGCCTCAAGGCCAGGCCTCCCCTCGTAACGCCTAACCGACAAGGAACCATGAAGACAGCCAGTGGAAACTCAGTGGGGCTTTTGAAACAAGGGCCGCAGGCTGCAAGGCGGCTAAGTGCTGTGCAGAGGAAGCTGGATTCCACGTAACTGACCAGGGTTCAAATCCCCGCCCAGGTGGTTTCGTGCTGGGCATGTGTGTTCCAGGGGCTCTGATCCGATGGAGAGCCGGGGAAGGCTGGTGTGACCAGGTCCCACTGGGTGCTTTCCCCCACCTCCTGTGCATGTAGCCTCTGATATAAGATGAAAACAGAAGCACAACGCCAGGGGGACCAGGTCACTGGTAGAGCAGAGCCCAGGCAGGAGGCTGCTTCCTGCAGGGCCAGGGCCAGGTGGGGCAAGCACTTGCTGTCAAGGCCCTCTGGGGGAGAAAATGACAAACTGCCACAGGCAACAAGTGGCTGGGCCCCAGGGCCAGGTGCTGGCTGGCTCCTCCCCTGTAGAGGGTGGGAGTCCTCAAGGCCCTCTGGTCTCCCCAGGTCATTCCTGTCCTCCCTACCAGAGACCATGTCTCTGGACAGCACTGAGAAATGTCTCTGCAAAGCCACTGCAGGTGCCCCCAAATCCAGCACTGCTCAGACTGGACTTCGCGAGGGAAGGGCCGCCTGCACCACACTCAACTGGACGTGCTGGGAGGCCGTCCTCCCGTCGGCCGGGCAGAGGGTCACCCGACCACTCTGCCGACAGAGCCTGAGCACATGGGGCCACAGCTAAGATACCCTGGCACCTTCCTTTCTCTCCCCACACAGAGCCCACCTCCTCCAGGGCAAGGAGCCAGAGCACACCTCAGCCCCGATCAGACCATACGCAGGGAGCCCACCAGGTGGCAGCACCCCTGACCAGGCTGGACACAACTCGGCCACAGGGAACCACTTCCCCATGGCAGGGCAGGTGCGTGGCCCAGAGACATCAGTGACTGCCCACCCCCACCCCCAAGCAGGGTGTGGTGAGGCAGTGTCCGCTGTGGCCACAGGCAGGCCCTGACCCACACACTCGGGCACACACACTGGGCGTACGAGATGGCAGTGTCGCTGGCAGCACAGGGCCCCCCCACATACAGTCCTGCCGTCTGGCCCAGGTTTCAAATGTGTTTTTTATTCGCTATTTTGATGACTATAAATAAGTGTTTCCACTATGGAAAAGAAAGTTAGCACAGTACATTTTCATGACTGGGGAATGGATTTTCTGAAGTCATCTTCCATGGGGCAAAAACTTAGAAAAAAAAAAAAAAAAAAAAAAACAAAACTGAATGGTGGAAACAAGCTATTTTTAAACAAAACAGAATAAAAACAAACCGAAAAGGAGGGGCAGGGAAAAACTTTAAAAAAGAAAAAGAAGAGGAAAAGGAAGTTGGGGTTTATTGCTTCTCGGCCTCCTCCTTGGTCTGGTCTCCGGGCTCCTTGGTCTCCTCTTTCACGGAAAGAGCCTCCAGCTTCTCGGCTACTTTGTCGGCATTGTCGTTCTTGCCTGGCCCTGCAGGACGGCGAGCGAGCACGGTAAGCAGCAGCAGCACTGGCCCGCACCCCCGCCAGGCCAGGCAGCAGGGCCGTCCACGCTTGGCCGCCCCCACCGCCCTCCCCTGACCCTCAGGACCCACTCCCGCCTCTGGGGGAGACTGCGATCGTTTTGTGCGTGTACACGCGCGTGCACACGTACTAGAGGGCGTGCACACTGGCCAGAGGGCGGTGGGGAGAGAGGCACTCCCCGCGGGGACCGGTCACAACCCCTTCGGCAAGTCTCCTGTCAGGATTTGGGGCACTCACATGTGCCCACTGTGTTTCTAACTGCCAGGTCCAGGACTCGAACTGCACCATCAGCCTGTGGGAACCTGACTACCTTAACCTCCACACCACAAGCCAGCCCAGGCCTCTCGTAACCCAAAGGAGGCATTACCCAGACACACACGTGTTGCTCCCACCCTGGGCAGGCTGCTCAGTGACACCTGGTCTCTTGGCCCCGCAGCCGCGGCCCAGCCCTGGAGTGGCGAGCGCCCCTGCTCTCCACAGAAGAGAATGGGACCACCTGGCAGCACTTGCAGCCTCTGGGGCTCCAGTCAGCACTGAGGGCTGGGCCACCTCTCAGATCCAGACCCGGACCCGACCGAGGCCCCGAGAGCGAGGCACACTCGGCATGCCCCAGGAAGCACCCGTGTCCCCAAGCAGCTGCATCGCCCTGGCAGGCCAAGGCGCCGCAACGCCTGGAACGTTTCTCTGGCAGACGGCAAAAGCACCCGCCCGGGGCTGCGGCCGGGTGCAGAGTGAGTCTGCGAGGAAGGCCCGCCACGGGCACCCCGTCACCTTTCTTTTCTCTCTCTTCAATCTCTTTCCTGCATTCTTCGAACTTCGTTTTGAATTTCTGTGCATCTGTGGAAAAGAGAGACAACTTCCTAAGGGCCCCAGCAGTGGGTCCCAGAAGCCCAACCCACAGCCTGGCCTGGCCTAAGGACAGGCTCGGCCAGGGGACGTGGTCCTGGGCTCTCGGTCACAGGGCAGGGACTGGTCAGTCCTTCCTAAGGCTGAGGCCCTCTCCCTCCATCTGACTCTGTGACAGTGTGGATCCTCGGGCATCCAAAGGGTAAGGGGACCTCCTTGCCACTGGCCCTACTCTCCACCCCTCCAGAGCAAGGGTCAGGTTCACCCCGCACCACAGGTGGCTGCGCCACAGTCCCGACCCTTCCAGGAACCACTGGGGGCAGCTTTTCACAACCCAGAGTAGAAAGAGCCCAGGGCAGAGAGAGGCCTGGGTCGGTGGGTGTCTACACGGCCCCTGCTCCGTGAGCCACGGGAGGAGCAGTGCTGGGCAGTACCCCGAGGTCAGCGCCAAGACCCTGGTGGAGACCGACACTGAGCAGGACACTGGTGTGCAGGCCAGGGGACAACCAGTGACACACTGAGCGGCAGCCCCGTGCTCAGGGCTGCAGGTTGGACGTGGCCCGCAGACAGGGCACAGCCCCGCAGCAGCACCAGCGTGCCCGCAGTGGAACCGCTCACCGACTGCTCTCTTTCCTGCATTCTTCGAACTTCGTTTTGAATTTCTGTGCATCTGTGGAAAAGAGAGACAACTTCCTAAGGGCCCCAGCAGTGGGTCCCAGAAGCCCAACCCACAGCCTGGCCTGGCCTAAGGACAGGCTCGGCCAGGGGACGTGGTCCTGGGCTCTCGGTCACAGGGCAGGGACTGGTCAGTCCTTCCTAAGGCTGAGGCCCTCTCCCTCCATCTGACTCTGTGACAGTGTGGATCCTCGGGCATCCAAAGGGTAAGGGGACCTCCTTGCCACTGGCCCTACTCTCCACCCCTCCAGAGCAAGGGTCAGGTTCACCCCGCACCACAGGTGGCTGCGCCACAGTCCCGACCCTTCCAGGAACCACTGGGGGCAGCTTTTCACAACCCAGAGTAGAAAGAGCCCAGGGCAGAGAGAGGCCTGGGTCGGTGGGTGTCTACACGGCCCCTGCTCCGTGAGCCACGGGAGGAGCAGTGCTGGGCAGTACCCCGAGGTCAGCGCCAAGACCCTGGTGGAGACCGACACTGAGCAGGACACTGGTGTGCAGGCCAGGGGACAACCAGTGACACACTGAGCGGCAGCCCCGTGCTCAGGGCTGCAGGTTGGACGTGGCCCGCAGACAGGGCACAGCCCCGCAGCAGCACCAGCGTGCCCGCAGTGGAACCGCTCCCCGCCTGCCCAGGTGAGCCCAAGCCTGCCCTCTGCTTACTCTCGGCGTTTAGGAAGCGGATGGCCAGCAGCTCCGGCTTGGGGCACTCGTCGGCGAAGTCGGCGTGGGTGTTCCAGACCCATGCGCGGTCGCTGCCCGCGTTCGGCTTGAGCTCCATCATCGGAGTGACTGGGGGAAGAGGCCGTGAGGACAATGCAGACTGCCCGGGTGCCCACCTCCCGCCCTCAGAGCGCCTGCTCGCCTACCCAAGGCATCCGCCAAGCGACACGGGGTCAGCACGGGGCTCGAGAACTGGGCCAAGACCAAGTCCCACAGGGCCTGATCCATCTGAGCTTTGAAAATGCCCGTGGCCACTGACACGAAGACCACCCTACCTCGGCACAGGAAGCAGACAAGCCGAGCAGGCCAGGGCCAGGGCCAGCACTCCTGAGCAGGGCTGTGACCACACCCGTCCGTGCAGCAGGGCCTGGCCGCCACCCAGGAGAGCAGCCCACTCTGAGCCTTCCACTGCCCAGGGAGACCACAGGACACGCCCCCGAGTTCCCTGCCGCCTCACCTGGACAGCCCTGCAGGCGGCCCCTCACCGGACCAGCTCCCACAGGAAACGCAGGGCCCAGTGCCCCCACAGGTCTCCCTAAACACAGGTGGACCCCAGGCCCGGGCCAGGCCGCCCCACACGCCTGAACTGGCGGATCTTATCTTCCGCAGCCCAACACACTGGTCACGCCAGGCCTCCCCACACCCAGCCATTACCCCTCCCCACTCGGATGCCCAGCCACCACCCTCTGTCCACCAAGGGCCTATGGCTGCCCCAGGGGTGGCCAGCTCTGCCCACCACTCTGAGACAACAGCCACCAGACAGGCTCTGACAGGACGACCGGTGTCAGGGCAGGAGCCTGGGCGTAGGCTCCCGCCAGGCTCAGGGCCAAGGAGGCCTGGTCAGGGTGCAGGCGGGCTGGGCAGGGAGGCCAGAGCCATGGAGACTGGGGCACAGGCAGGGTCCTTGGGACCTCTGCAGACCCCGTCCTGCATCACCCAGGGCCACCAGTGGTCACCCCATGAGCCCAGGAGGAGCCCCACCTGCATGACACAGGACACTGAGCAAACAGACACGTCCCTGGAAGGTCGGCAAGGGATGCCTCAGGACACACGTACCTGATACCCAAGGAGCACGCACTCCTGCCTAGTGGCTGGCCCCGGCCCTGGCGGGGCCTCTCCCACACCTCACAGGTGGCTGGGCACACCTGGCCGAGGGCCTCTAGTTTCTCAGGGAAGTGAGGACATGGCGGCCACGTTCTCCCCAGTCCCTCCCCACACATGTCCTCCCCTCTACGGGACACCTTGGTGGGGGCAGAAGCCAAAGGGAGGGAGGCTGCCACCCGGGCACCTCTCACTGCCCAGACACCACACGTGTGTGTGCACCTAGCCACTCACCCACACAACCCACCACACAGACGCTGCCACACACCAGACACCCAGATACGCCTGCATGCTCACACGTGTGCCCACACTGCCACACATGTACCCAGACACCACACATGCCTAGATACCACGTACCCTAGATACTCTGCACATGCCCCTTCACCCACACATGTGCAGGTGCGCCTGGCCACCCACATGTGCACGTGCCCAGACACACACGTGTCAAGACACCTCATCCAGGGACCAGCAGTTAGCGTAATGGCTATGTCACTGGACTCCCACGTAGTCGACCGCGGTTCGAGTCCCGGACCCGGTGGCTTAAACTCACGCCAGGCGCGTGTGCGTGCGTGCCCAAGATCTCGAGACAGAATGGAGAAGGGATTGCGGCGTGGCCACCCCCCCTTGGGGGGGGCTTTCCTGCTTTCTGTCTCTGTCTGTCTGTCTGGCAAGCGCACGTGCCCTATAGCAAAAACCTCTCAAAAAAAACAAACAAACAAACAAAAAAAAACAAAACCACATCCAGGCCCCAAGTACACACGTGTACAGACTTAAGCTCTAATACCCCCCCCACCACATAAGCACGTCCACCCACATGTGAGCACATATGTCCATGCTGACGCACACGTGCATGCATGTAACCGCCACACACCCACATACCATGCTCAAATATCACACCATAAGACACCATAAGACATGTGTGCCCAGAAAACACCCAGACCTCGCACACGTGCCCAAACACACACACACATGCACCCACACGCCCAACACCACGCATGCGCATGCTGCCTGCCCAGCCCAGCCTGGCTGCACCCTTCAGGGCCCGCAGGCTCCCCCCGCGTCCCAGTCCCAGCAGCTGCTCTGCAGGCCCGCTCTCAGCCAGCCACCTCTGAGAACCCAACCCTCGGTCTAGACACCACACACACACACACACACACACACACACACACGAGCGTGCTCCCCAGGGCCCCAGGACGACTCAGCGGAGTGAAGGACAGTGGGCACGGCCCGGGGCACCTACTGTAGTGGTTGGCGCAGATCTTCAGCGTCTTGTCCCTCCGCATGAGGAGGCGGATGGTCCCCTTCTCCTTGTGCTTGAGGAGCTTGACATCGCCAGTGCCGCGCTCCTTCCACTCCGGGAGGTCGTTCTCGGAGGCGAACCGGAACAGCTTGGCCCGCCTGTGAGAACAGCCACGTGGACGCGGTGAGACCGGGTGTGCCGGGCACACGCACATGCAGTGTCTGCTCAGGAACAGGGACTCCCCGAGCCCTCAGTCGCCAGCCCTGTACGCCGGCCCATCGGCCAGCAGTCACCCTTCCGCGCCACAGGCCGAGAGCTGGGCGCCAAGTCACCCAGAGCACTGCAGCACCCCAGGTGGCGGACCTCTGCTTTCTGCGAGTACAACGGCGATGTGGTCTTTCGCGGGGACCCAGCACCTCCAAGTCACGCTGGCCCTCCTCACAGCCAGATGGACAGCCCCGAGGGGGCAGAGAAGCTGCGCGTGCTGGCGTCCCTTGGTCGCCGTGCAGGAGCACCCCGGCCCCCATGGCACAGGCGCAGCGTGGTCAGGCGGTGCGCATGGACTGCAGCCCTTGTGGGCCCTTCCTCAGCTGCCAAGATGCCCCCAGGCCAAAGCCTGCCTTCCCAGCCAAGAGCAGCACCTCACGCCGGGGACCAAGGCGCCAGGAGCCTTGCCCTTAGGACTCAGCCTTCCGCACCCCAGCTCTGTCTGTCCCTCTCCACAGAAGACAGCCCTCTCCTCAAACTGAATTGTCAAGGGAGACGACATCCTCAAAGGCACTCGCTGACTCAGCTCCCGGAGCCTCAGCAGGGACCCCAGTGCTAGGGTGCAAAAGCCCAGCCCAGTGGCCTCGCCCTCTCAGAGGGGCCCAGCCTGCAACATGGCAGGGCAGGGGCGGTATCCATGTCACCTCGCCCAGGGAGGAATCACTGCCCGTTGGGGGGCTGCAGCATTAGCAGGCAGAGCAGAGGCTGCCCAGTCAGTGTCTTCAGGGAGAAGCCACCACCCTAAGCCCAAGGGGCACCTGCAGCCCCGGTCTCCAGGCCTGTCCTTGGCCCCCTTCCTGGGACCGGAGGTCTGCAGTGTGGGTGACAGTCACTTCCCTTCCCCAACCCAGAGCAGCCAGACCCTAGCCGGGTGTCTTGGGTCGACTACAGGGTCATCGGAAAAGGCACGACATATTTTTCCGGTTTTATACAAAAACGCGCCATGACTTTTTCGGCAACCGAAGAGATGAGTAGAGTGTGGGGTGTCCACAAACTTGGGCAAGGAACAACTACTGTATTTCCCCGAAGTGGGACTGCAGCCAGCGTCCAGGCAGGAGCAATCTCTGCAGCCCTTGCGCCCAGCACTGCTCCAAACCCACACCCACTGCTGCGGCTCCTGACTGAAGAACGGTGCGATCGTGGGGCAGGTGCACTTGCAGGGGAGACAGAGACAGAGAGAGGGGAAGTGAGAAATCACCCCCCTGGGGATGGCACCCCACAACCCTTCACCTCCATTCTCCTCCCAGGATCCTGGGCATCCACACACAGGTGCCTGATGTGATTTTCAAGTCTCCAAGGCCAGAACTCAGACTGCAGTCAGCCATGCAGGAGTCCAGCAACGTAACCACTACGCCATCTGCTGGCCCCTCATTTCCTTTCCTTTCCTTTTTTTTTAATAAAGATTTTTGCCGCAGGGCCTGATCGTTTTCTTTCTTTCTTTTTTTTTGGAGAGATTTTTGTCATAGGGTGCGTGCGCTCCCCAGACAGACAGAGAGAGACATTAGACAGAAAGTGAGAAATCACCCCCTAGGGGGGACGGTCACGCCGCAATCCCTTCTCCTCCATTCTCCTCTTGGGATCTTGGGCACGCACGCACACGCGCCTGGCGTGAGTTTTAAGTCACCGGGCCCGGGACGCGAACCGCGGTCGACTACGTGGGAGTTCAGCGACATAGCCATCACGCCAACTGCTGGTTCCCTTTCTTTCTTTTTTTGAAGAGGTTTTTGATATAGGGCGTGTGCGCTTGCCAGAGAGACAGAGAGCGAGAACTCACCCCCCGGGGGGGATGGCCACGCCGCAATCCCTTCTCCTCCATTTTCCTCTCGGGATCTTGGGCACGCACGCACACGCACCCAGCGTGACTTTAAGCCACCGGGTCCGCGATTCGAACCATGGTTGACTACGTGGGAGTCCAACGACATAGCCATTATGCCAACTGCTGGTCCCAGTCATTTTCTTTTCAAGTAACTAGACCAGCACCTACTTTCATTTGTAACTCCAATCACCGTTTTATGCACTAGAAATACCCAGTGGGGGCTAGCAGGCGGTGCAGTGGGTAAGGTGCTAGACCCCACATGGCTATGGCTTGAGTCCTGGACTGCGGTGACTTCAACATCACGCCAGGGACACGTGCATGCCCAAGAATCTCAGAACAAGGGACTGCGCTGTGGCCTTCCCCCGAGGTGGGTGATTTCTTACTTTTCCTCTAGTCTCTCCAGCATGTGCATGCACCCTGTGGCAAAACAAAACAAAACAAACAACGACCAACCAAAAAAAAAAAAAAAAAAACCCAACAAAGCCCCAGGGGAAGGGCTGGCCTCATAGCTTAGCAGTTAATGGATGCCATATGACTGCAGCAGTTCTCATCCTGGTCTCGACAGCTTGGAAGACGAGCCAGACATGTATACATCCACGCACAAAGTCCTGACGGGGGGAAATGGAGGAGTGTAGTGTGGTCACACCCCACGGGGTGCTTTCTCTCTCTGGGAATTACAACACCGCTGGTGCAGGCAGCGAGGTGCCCCTGTGCAAGGCCAGAGCCACAGGAGAGGAATCGGCTCAGGTCTCAAGCCAATCTGAACACGCCAGGCATGTCCCAGCAATCCTGGCTTGGAGACCGCGTGGCAAAACCTATCAGGGGTATCCCTCTCTCTTTCAAACCTAAGAAATAAAAATAAACTTACAAGCTAAAGCCGGCCAGTCATATGGTTAAAGTGGCGGGATCATGGCCGACTGCATAGTTCAAGCCCTGGGCACTGCAGCTTGAAAAACGCACCAGGCAGGAACCAGCAGTTAGCGTAATGGCTATGTCGCTGGACTCCCACGTAGTCAACCGTGGTTCGTGTCCCGGACCCGGTGGCTTAAATCTCACGCCGGGCGCGTGTGCGTGCGTGCCCAAGATCCCTAGAGGAGAATGGAGGAGAAGGGATTGCGGCGTGACCATCCCCCCTGGGGGGTGATTTCTCGCTTTCTGTCTCTATGTCTCTCTCTGTCTGTCGGGCGAGCGCACGCGCCCTACAGTGAAAATCTCTCCAAAAAAAAAAAAAAAAAGAAGAAAAAAAAAAAAAAAAACGCACCAGGCCCACGTAAATGTGCACCCTCCAATCCTGAACGGAGACAGTACAGGCTGTGACATGGCCATCACCCTGGGGGTGTTCTCTCTCTCTCTCTCTCTGTCTCTGGCAAACACACATTCCCTATAGCAAAATTAAGTTAAATGAAAAAACACAGACTTGGTGTTTCCTAAGTTCCAAGAGGCCACAGAGAAGTTTCTGCTGCAGAACTGAGGACCTCCTGCTCAGTGACAGGAAAGGCCCGTGGAGAGAAAGGCAGCTGGGGCACAGGGAAGATTGTGGATGAGTGTGTTATTTTTTGAGAGAGAGATTTTTGCCATAGGGCCCATGCACTGGCCAGAAAGACAGAAAGGGAGAAATCACCCCCTGGGAGGAGGGCCACACTGCAATCCCTTCTCTATACTCCTCTCAGGACTTTGGGCATGCAAGCACACACACCCGGTGTGAGTTTTCAGCCACTGGCTCCGGGACACGAACCGTGGTCAACTGTGGAAGTCCAGCTAGGTAACCACTGGCTCCAGTGAATGAGTGTTTGATTTTACCAATCAAACAAACAGGATGAATTTCGACTTGAGATGAGTCACTATACAAGTTCAGTCCCTGTCTTCAAACAGCTTTGGATCTGATGAGGCCCCGGCTGCTCAAGATCCTGACAAACTAGAGGCCTGGGGGAAGAGGACCTTGGCAAGACCAGACCCGTTGAGGGTGATTTTCTTTCTCCCTCTCCCCCATCCATATATGCCATCCTGAATAAAAGTCCCGTATACCAAAAACAATCAAACAAAACAAAAACCCAACAGCCTGGGTCTGTCTGAAAGCCCAAGTCCCCGACACCTTTGCAATCACGTCAGGGCCCACACCCGTGATGCCATGTCTGGGGCGACATCGACATCAGCTTCCTTACATTTTAAAAAGTTCCTCTTCATCTTCCTCCAACGTTTTAATTTCTTGCTCAGGAAGAGAAACTATTGGCTCGAACTGGGGGTCGTGGTTGGACTCGTCGGCATTCTCGGTAGATGTATCATGATCCTCATGCGTGTCCTGCGGAGGGAATCCCAAAGAATTGACACTGCTGTCTCACAGACCTGGATGCAGCCGGAGCTCGCCATAACATCCCCGACGGGAACGGCTTTGCAAAACAAGGACCAGACTCACTCAATGCACAGCCTCCCATACTAGGAAACGTTTTTTGTTTTTTTTTGTTTTTGGAGAAGTTTCTGCTATAGGGTGCATGAGCTCACCAGACAGAGAGAGACAGAGAGATAGAAAGCAAGAAATCACCCCCAGGGGGGGGATGCCCATGCCACAATCCCTTCTCCTCTTGGGATCTTGGGCACGCACGCACACGTGTCCAGGGTGAGTTTAAGCCACCTGGTCCAGGACTCGAACCGCGGTCGACTACGTGGGAGTCCAGCGATGTAGTCATTATGCTAACTGCTGGTCCCCGGTACTAGGAAACTTTTTATCAACACATTCAGCTCGGAATCACCTCTGCAGGACAACAGACTGCGGCATTCCGATTCACAGACATCAATTAGATCTGTGCAGACGGAGGGACGGGATGAAACAGGCGGCCACTACTCGCCCAGTGGCCAGCGAGAAATTGCCTCATCTATTTAAAAAGCCTGTTTCGTTTCTATGAGATGTAATGATAATACCTGCTAGATAAAAATGACAAAACAGCAGGGAAGAGAATCTCAAGAAATGGTGTTACCCTTAATAGAAAAAGAGACTCTTTGTGCTCTTACTATCAAGAGCCGAACACCACTCCCCTTGCCTGGGAGACAGAAGCAATGTTAGGAAACAATGTTGCTGGATTTAGTGGAACTCCGTTCCCTCGACAATCTCACCATAGTCCGGAAAATTCAGTTGGTAAGTGGATGAGAGAAATCGGGCCAGTCCTAAATCTCTGATCTAATTGTAGATAATTACGGGGCACAAGTAGTCCTATCTGAGGTCCAAGTCTTCCAAAACGCGTGTCGGGGTGATCCAGGAGTCCTTAATAAACCGCCATTTTTCACCACCAGACTCAAAGCGGCCAAGAAAAGAGAAGCCTTTCACTGCACTTCCTGGGCTGCACGGCACTGCGGTTCCGCGCGGCCGACACCACCAGACACTCGCGGCCAACAAAGCCACCCCCGCCCCGAACCGGCGCGTCCAGGGCCCGACCCCTGCGCTGGGGCTCCGGCTTCCGCAAGAGGCCCGCGGCGGTTCCCAACTGGGGACCGAATGAATGGAGTGCTGCGTGGGCGACGGAAGCAGGGGTGGACCGTCCCAGGGAGAAGCCCAAGTGGGCCGAACCGGAGGAAACCGGCCGCCCGCCTGGGTCCTGGCAAGCGGGGTCGCCCCGCGTGGCGATGACCGCTCGCTGGCCCACCCCAAGGTCACGCAGGCGCCCGGCGGCCCCCGGGCCCGGAGCCCTTGCCCCCAGGCCCCATGCGCCCCGACCCCGCAGGCCTCGAGCCCCCAGGCCCCGCGCGTCCCGACCC